TCTAGTGCGACGTAAAGTAACAACAACAATAAAATTTTTACCTGTATTTTGAATCTTAAAATCATCAAGAGAGGTGGCATTTTTTTTTTTTTAAACCTTAAGACACATTGGGGAATAAAATGAGACTAAACATTATAAAATACTATTAGATGGCTCTGTTCTATATTCTGATAACTGAGCTATCGTAAGAGTATGGGAAAACAGAATCATTTTATTAGATCTCCATGATTTCATACAGAGATCAGGGTTAATCAGGGATATTTTAAATCAGAGTTGTTCAATAACTATCTAAGCCCAAACTTGAGAAAAAAAAACAAGTAGGTTTTTTTCTTGCATTTTATTATAACAAATAGACTATATATTAAGATTATACTAATAGAATAATATTTATATTTCTGCTACTTCAATATTCTGCATTTGAAAATTCTTAATTAACTTTTTTTTAAAATAATTATTATTAGAAAAAGGAGATAATGTACTTAGGTGTTTTCGCAAAAATTCGAGAGATTAATTCACAAAATAATTGAAACTACTACTGTTATAACAAGATTAGAATTGCAATTCACTGAAATAGGAAAATAATACATTTATAAAAGTGCATTTTAACTACTATTTTGCTAACCTGAGAGTCTAATTACATACTTTCAAATGATACTTTTAAAATATAGCACCCTTTAACTGGTGAAATACTTGTTCAGATGCATCCTTTGTTGTTGAAATATTAGAGCTTATTCTGGAAGCTCCCTTTCATTGTAAAAAACATAGGACACAACTCAGAAAAGTAATGCAATGCACCATTGCATAAAATAGTTTTTCCAAGTAAAAAAAAAAAATTTCCCGCAGTGGACTGATCGTTAAGACACGGTTCCCAGCAGATCACCGAAGTCAAGCATCACTGGCTGCGGTCAGTGTGCGGGTGGGTGACCACTTGGATCTGTCTGCGTAGGGACCGAGGGTGTGGGGTAGTGGTCCTCGTTAAACTGTTCCATCGTAAAGTGCTCGACTTCACGTGCAAGTTGTGGCAACTCAAGCCACGAAATAGGTTAAATCCCCACAAAAGGGNTTTCTACTAGGCGTCTTCCCTAACCGAGGGAGAGTTCAATCAGAATGAATCTGAAAATGGCGAGATAAACATCTCGTCAAATCCTAAAAATCCGATTTGAATCTTCAGGCTTGTTAAAATAAACTTTTCATGGTGACCAACGGACGTTATCTAGTATGGAATTAGGAAATTGTGGTGATTTATAAATTATGAATCTATGAAACTATTACGAGGAATCTATGAATTACGAACATTCATTAATTGGCACGGGATAAATATTTTTGATGAAAATATCTTCAGATAGTGAAACGCTGAGATTTGAGGTAGGTCCATTTTTCTTTGTTCCAATTTATTGATATATAAAATGGATTTAGAACGAATTAAGGAAAAACGAAAAAGGTTAAGAATTTCATTTAGTAAGCATTTAACTAGGATAGAAAATACGATAGGAATTGAAATTTCGAATGAATACACGAAAGAAATGAAAGTGAATGAGCTTTTGAGCTTAAAATCTCAGCTCACAGAAAAATTAAATGATTTAATTAAAGCTGATGATGAAGTGCAGTTTAAAATTGAAATAGAGGATATGGCAGCTGA